GAGTATCTATATATGTGTAGGGACATGCCCCACAAGTGTGATCAATGGTCAACCGGACATAGATCACCATCCTCTGTAGACACATGACCACGTCTATTATTGTTATACTTATTATTACATGTAACCATTCACATTTTTCACATTGTGATTCATAACTGAATAATTCAGATATTTAACTGATAACTCGTTTCCACTTCGAGTTTTTACACTAGCACAAACAACCTTGTATTTATAAACGCTATTGCGTGGAACGGCCATAATTCGATTCAGATTGACTTAAGCGCCACGATGTAAGTTAATTTCTCTTTATAGAACAAAAATAAAACATTACTTTTGTTAATTCTACATTAAGAGAGAACGATCCATTACAGGCCACTATTCATCTCGTCGTGGAACAATTGCTTCGTGTTACGGTATCATGAGGAGACGGTCTCTGCTTACCGAAGCGAGGCTTATACACCGAACCAGCGAAAAAAACACGATACGCAACCATTTACAGCCTAATCTATGCATCAGTAATACATAATTGCTGAATATCAAGCGCACTACAGATTTAAAATACAAAAAAATGTTATTTGTTTTTCAAGTGCTATCGCCCTTTTATAACTCCACTGTGCCCCATAGCGGAGTGGGAGTGTTAAATCTGTGAGAGGTTGCGCTGTGTTTACGTCGGGGAGATGCTTGTTCGCGTGTGGGTTTTGGAAAATCAATATTTCATTGCGACGGGAATTATTTCATCATTAAAACAATGCAAATATCAAGTCGCTCGATAAACTATTTGTTAATGCAAATTCACAGCATTATAGCTGCGAATTTTTTTCAAAACAACACGCTTAATATGTGAATAATTTAGAAATTAATGTTCATTACAGAACTAAACAACGCTTTCAGAAATATGAAAGCAATGCATGTTTGGTCCCTAATGATTCACACAAACCTAATAAATCTCCTTAATTGATAAAAACATTTTGATGTTTTTGTATATTACTTAGGCAAATATTTGCACACGGCACATCCGTCTTCGCAAGATAATTTCATTTATATAAGCCGTAATTCTTGAATAAAATATTTAAAGAAAACATGACATTCATAATTTATGAACATTATCATAACGATGGAAAATGAAATATTATTTAAAACGGATGAAGACTGCGACAAGGTTTATATCTTTCCACACGAGAAAGCACAGAAATAAAAATAGATAAAATTTATTTTTGTGGTGTTATTTTGAGGAATTACCACAAGGTTTGTCAAGCGTAACATGATTAACGATATCTAATGGGAGATAAAACTATTTGTTCACAACTTACCTCCATAGAAGAAATGCGATATGAAATTATTTTGGATTTTTATCAATTGCATTAATTCAATAGCTTCGAGTGACACGTGTTACCTGCCCTGATCGTGCATGTTATTAAAACGTTTCTCATGAACGCATGATTTCCTCATCGGAGGAGATATATATTACATACATATTCCATATAGGTATAATTTGTAAACCCCATCTCCTTTAATAAATGTCAAAACATTCGAAGAGAGTTTCCTGTTTTTTTCGACGATTCAATACCCTTTGTCAATAATATATAAGGTACAAGTGCACAGTTACATTTATGACCACAGACATTTATAGTCTTGTTATTAAACATCAGGTTTAATTATTTATGTACAAATGATTCACGATTTATTTAGAAACAGAAGGTCAAACGGTGAAAAATGACATTTCCTCCACAACCGATTCAAAAAGATCTGTAGGTTTAACAATAAGCTGTCGAGCTGCGCGGAGTTGAAAAAGGCTCAGGTGTAGCAGAGTGAACAGAAGATCGATAGTCTGCACATTAGCAGCAGCCGAGCGGGGCCCCTATTGCCGTGTAGGGAGCTTGTATGCCACAAGGACATGGCCCTCCTTTCTAATAATCTTTCTCCGACATTATTCTCAGTTCGAGGGTACTGGGCAGGTGTTCAATGTGGCAGAGCGTTCTCTACCGAATTGACACCTTTTCTCTACGTCTCATCAGGAAAACTCGATTTGCCGTGGTGATGGCCGGTTATATCGGCTGGGTTTTACCGAATCAATTGCAGTAAACTGCAGAGCGGCGTAGCAGGAAAAACTGTTGACCACTGAGGATATCGATCGATTTGACAGGCCACATCGCCTATAGAACGGACCCGTACAATGCCTCTAAATTAGAATCCGTTCAGACCAGCTACATATGCTAGCGGAGTCGCCGTCCCCCTAGGGGCGATATATCATGCCCCTATCAAGGCGCTTCATCTATCTCTAGTCAAATATCAATGAAACAAATTGTAGTGTTGAAAGTCAATTACAGCAGACAAACGGACAAGACGTGGGAGAACGGAGTTGTAACGACTCCCTCTCGCTTCTCCGCCAACAAAGACAAATCTTTTTACATTTGTCATATTGGGTAAAGGGGCAGGCGAGTATTACCCTGATCAGATGAGTTTTTCACTACGATTCTTAAACTCATGGGGATTGAACACTACCAGTATTCATAGGTACGACGGTATGATTAAAAATCACCATAACTCAATATACTGTTGATAGAACAGAACGTTCATTTACTGTGTTAATGTTGGCGCTATACAAGTGTATATTATTATTATCATTATTATTAATATTATCATTATTATTATTATCTGTCATGATTTTCTAATCAGCGATTGCATAATAAACAATAGTTTCTTCACGTTGAATCTTCCAGGACCCCGCTGACCATGACGTAAGATGTTGAAATTTATTTAACTGTTTACAGCTGTTCGGAACAACACTTCACCTGACGTTGTAAACAACGCTTTGAAGTCCGCGTGTGACGTAATACATAGCTCCCTAATAGGCAAGCGAGAATGGTGCGGAATTTGGACGTTAATAAACCTAAACACTCGTCACAATGGGGTATTTTACAAGCTCGGCGGCCTGATTCAAGTCCGAGCCACACTATTTAAGTTTTTAATTAGCGGGTGAATTTCTCCCAGCTTGATTTAGGAGGTGAATTTACAGGACAGTGAGATACTTAGCCCCGGCCAACTGTCACCCCTAAGACTCCGCCACAATTGCCAGTCTTTGAAATTAGCTGCATATTAAACACACTCGAATGGTGGCAGTGTTTGGCTATTGAGTAATAGCAAACGTATTGTAAGCATTCAACGCGCGGTGTTTCCCAACCGGCCAAATTGTCAGTATGGGGATTAGCTTTCAATGGAAATGCCTTCTTCCTCTGTCTAACTTGACGGTTTGGGACAAGCAAGGCAATGTCCACGCAGACAGTTAATACTGTGTTTCCCGCTTCATTTAGATCGACAACATTGGGTTTTGTTCCTATCGGAAATGCAGACAAAGGAAAATGAAAAACAGGGGTGAATTGGAAGTGTTTGCTGAGAAAACGACTTGTCTGGCTACAAAGGAAGGAATCATTGGTGACCCTGCCTGGCTCATGAGGCTGTTTGGTAAACATGACCTCACAGGCAGGGTCGGCGGTGGGACACGCTAGGTTCAGCTGCTAAACGTATTGTCACAAATCACTGGTCACCTGCCCAGTGGCTAGTGTCCTTTACACCTCTGAATAGCCTGGGTGTCAAATCCGATAGAAAGGTAATACCACCCGTTGTAAGTTTAGCTCGATCGTGACAACGCTGGAGTTTATTGGATGTGAACAGTGTCACATGGACAATGCCTAGGTGAGGTGAAGTTGGTTTAAATAACGCAGTGCCAGGTAAGCACACTTCACGCCTACCCGACGAACAGAAGTATCAGACTGCCTAGCCACTAAACAATTAATATCAAATATCAAAACTTCATTTTCAAATCAAGAGTCTTGTTTGTCGACCATATCACAATATCAAAATACACCAAAACACTTTCTGGATTTAACCAATACGATTCAATTTCGATTCCATCTTTGGCAAATGTCACAAAGCAGGCATATTTGACATAAACGACCGCAAAGGTGTTGTCTGCTTTAACCCTGATCCGTCAGCAGAATCAAACACAAAGAAAAACGAATTTACTTTTCGACTGCAGTTAGAAGGATGGCAAATAAAAGGCTACAGATCAATCTAGCCGGGAGTCGATCCTGTGAGCTTGCTACAAGAAAGCCACAGTATCGAATACCTATACATCATGCTCGTCACCCAACCAAGCAACAGTTATAAAGAACCATGCCTGTCGAAATACCGGGGGTTTATACCGTAACCCGTTATTGACTCGGAATCAATAACCAATAGCTCCTATTACACTCTTACCAGTTTCGGTTTAACACTGTGTGCTAAGACCCATATTCTTCAGTCTTTTCAAGCCTATTATTAATCCTTTTTGTTAGTCCCGTTGTGGCCTGTGTTCAAATTAGAGGAGGGAAATTCTTACTTAATTTTTCATTTCCCGCGTTAATTTGAGCTAGAAATAAAGAGGCGCATTGAGAAGCGAAGTCTCTGAGGGTTGGGGAACAGAGCCGGAGTGGTCAGGAGGAATTACTGTAGTGTGCATGACGGATGAGACTGGGAACCACACACACAGACTGAGTGTCATGTAGTGTGGTCATGTAGTGCTACTGCTAATGGTATTTGCTCACGTTTAGTTTACGACGGCAGCGTTGGAACCGACCAGGAACCTTGGACAGTCATCGAGCCGTGGCGAGACCTGATTGAACGGAGGAATCAAGTCGTCCAGAGCTATAATACACGTCCCGCGAGGACTGAGATTAGCAGGATAGGAGAATAATCTCAACTCTAGTCTCCTGGTCCAGAAAAGGACTCTCAGATCTGTCTCCGGACTTTAATAGTTTCAAAGGCTGACGAACCATTCCCCACGATTCCCATCAAACATGTCTCGACCCCGGTTCTTGAGTTCCCTATAGAATTGTTATAATCTAGTTATTACACATTGTCGCTACGTCGTACTAATAACAAGATCCCTGTTAATCAACGCAGTGTCAGTCGGTCAGTAATGATGTTGGTATTCCAGGCTAGTGTTTACATTTGGTACTTACCTACTGACAGCCACACGTTGAATGATAACAGTAAAATCCTGAGTAAGCCGTCCATTCCGACTGATTGCGTTGAGAGGGATACCATAGTAGAGTTACTCCTTACCCTCGTCACCGTGTCACCATCGCACAGAGGACGGACATAGGCCGGTCACAGCCAGAAACTCCAGTATCAATACACGAGTACAATCAGAAATTATCTTAAATGTGAATGAAGAGCCCGCGTTGTCATCAACAGCGTTCGGTTCCTTTACACAGCTCCAAACCAGAATACCGACACAGAGAGAGCAATACAAGATTCCTGATTCAGAAGCTTGTGAAGAATACTCAGTTACAGCATGTATAAATCCATCAGCATTGGCCACTGCTTCCTAGAAAGCTGAAGACACCCCCATAGCATATAGTTCGCGTCTTTCTGTACGCCGGCAGTCGACTGACTGAAGGATGGCAGTTGAGCTGATCGTGGTGGAGTTGATCGCTACTCGCTGCCGACAACGACCAATACGAAGGCTTGGCAACGGGCGTGATCGTGCATAAATTTACACGTGAGTTTAGCATCAGAGCGCAACGTCGAAGCCGCTTATGAGGCACGCATAGTGAATTACATTTGATTGGAGAGTCCGATATAATCGCGATCTTGGACTGTAGTGTTATGGTCTGATAATCCTCGTCGTGCGCGATAAGACAAGCACATGGCGTTTGTTGGTGTGTCCCGAGGGCGGAGCGCAGCTGTGTTTGACGGGGCGTACAAAAGCGCCGACAGCAGAGGGCGGGCTTAAGGTAATGACTGACAGTTCTCGACTACAGGGGGTGGGATCTGGCAACCAACCTACACACACAACCCTCTGAGATTTTTCGCGTTCCAATCAGAGTACTAGCTCGTGGGAAATCGATAAACATTACTTTCAACAGTAAACAAGAAAACCATTACACTGCCTGTGGAGATGTAAGAAACATCCTTGCACATATGCGAGTGGGAGACGCGGCTGGTTGATACGGTACACCCAGGTATTTTGTATTCTCAGGAGCAAGCATTTCTGAACTCGTTATGTATCTGTAAACATAAGCGCATCGTGGGCAAATAGAGCCTTACGTAACTGGCGTTGACGTGTGCCGTTAAATTGAGGCGGTTCACGAAGTAGATTAATTCAGGGCTACCTTACAAGTTGGCTCTGCGCTGTTTCGGCCACAGAAGCGGTACAATCGTGGCCGACACTGCAGCAACCTCTCCGAGACAATCACACGTAATGTCATGTATTATGTATAATGAGGTTAATGTGTTGCTAAATCCCCCACACAGCCACCTATCACAACCTTAAACATCACGGTATCATTAAAACACGCAGAGACAATGACTGCTTCTAAAGATACGAAGTTTAGTGTATTTGCAATGACTTGTTTAAATAAGATTTTGAGTTTATTTACTATTTGGACTTGTTTAACCGGGATTATTACCGTTAACGTTAAACTTGAATGAACTTTAATGAAGAAAATCGCTTTCGCTAGAATTAACGGTATTGTGTAATCATGTATTCGACGGCAATTTTACCGTTATAATACATATCCTTCATTAACTTGATTGTGTATAAATATATGTAAGTTGGGTAATGTATATTGAGTCAATTAAGCAAACTTAATCGTAAGTATAAAATAAATATTTAATCTTTAATCCTATGTTCACGTTTCATCAAAACGGTAAGTAATAACCAGATCTTTAATCTTAAATCCGATCCTGATATTTCGATAAAATTTCATTTTGCTGTGATTTATGTGGTTGTTGAATATTTAAACTTAGTTATTTACATTAAAATTAATTAGTTAATGCAACAGTAACTCATGACTTCCCACTGCTGACTTTTTGTTGTTTTGAGAGTGTCAACAAGTCCCATGAACCAGCAGTGTCGATCTATGTACTGGTGCCGTATCCTTCAACGTTTGTATATGTTAGGGGCAGTAGCCTTGTGGTTAAAGCGTTCGCTCGTCTCGCCGAAGCCCCGAGTTTGATTCCCGACATGGGTACATTTTGTGAAGCCCATTTCAGGTGTCCCGCGCAGGGATATTGCTGGATTATTGCTAAATGCGGTGTAAAACCAAACTCACTCACTTGTATATGTTATACAATCGATATGTAAAAGGATACGTTCCTACTGCGTTTTTAAATCTTTTAGGTACATATGTAAGCTAATAAACTAAAGAAAGCCTAAGCTAACGCGATCCATACTATGAGGCGTACATGTGTATTATGGATATGAACAAGTCATTACACGATATGTTTCTGAGCTGTTATTTTATAAAATTCTAACACGTATATGCCTGTTCGTGTTGCTTTTGCTGATGAGGATGAGAATATTTGGATGCTCGAGCGGGGATATTGTACAGTTGCAACATCGAAGAAACAATCGTTTTTAGTTTCAACGAAGTCGGTAAACGCGGTATCGTGTCGCTGTATTGTCTGGTCGACAATCACTAAATTGTCTTCTCCAGACTCGATTATTTACCGGCCGTCGTCGTATGGTAGGAGTATTGCTGGGCGGCGTTAGGCAACAGACAAGTATGTTTTTCTTTATTATGCAAATTGTGAGTATGTGAATAATGTTAACAGCTATTTTATCTTTTGAGAGAGAGAGAGAGAGAGAGAGAGAGAGAGAGAGAGAGAGAGAGAGAGAGAGAGAGAGAGAGAGAGAGAGAGAGAGAGAGAGAGAGCAGTTATTTCTCATTTAAAATTTAAAAGTACATTTAAAAGTATTATTGAACAGTGAATTTTAACAAAGTAACATTATACTGTCAGTACGACAACAGGTGAGGTGAAGTGGAGTTTAACGTCGCGTCCAAGATTAGTGCACTTATATAGCGACGTGCATGCACGTGTGTGTGTGTGTGTGTGTGTGTGTGTGTGTGTGTGTGAGAGAGAGAGAGAGAGAGTTTGTGAGTGTGGCTGCTTGTCCTAGTCCGGATCAATGCCCATTTTATAGTGCCTGCCCACTGAGATACCATGCCGCAGTTTAACATGAATACCCCTAATCAGACACAGTATACTGACTCCGAGTCGACAGTCCTTGTTTTAGCCCCCTAAATGCTGAGCGCCAGGCAGGGTAATAACAAGTACCATCTTTTTAACTTCCGTTGGTAAGACGCGGCAGGGGATGGAACCCCGGATCTCCCGTTCTCTGGGCGGACGCTCTACCACTAGACCACGGAACAACAGCTTTGACGGTGGACACCGAGACAACGTCAATAACCGACGCACACTCAACTGACACAAAAACAACTTGTGATCAGAAATATAATAACAGTCGTAACAGTTTCGAAATCATACTTGTTTTGTCAATCGGGTTTCCAAAATTCCAAATATTGTACACAGTAAATAAATTCAAGCGCTCCGAAAGGTTTTTAGTCGTTAAGGTTTGGTGCCACGAAGTCATTGCAAAACACGACGGCATTGCTTCGACGTTGACCGTCTCTTGGCAAGGACGCGACATAGCGTTTATCCATAATTGACGTTATGAAAGCAGCAGCCCCGTCTACTTGTGGGTCTGTCAGCCCTTGAAGGGTTAAGGTGTGAAGGCGCAGAGAATGTTGATATGTTATCGCATTACAGATTCGTATGGTTGTTGTTATGTGGTTTTAAAAGCCCCTGCCAAGATGTATGATAAATATATGTGTTTATTACAGCCACGTATGTTTAGTTTGATCCTGTAAATTTAATAATAATATTGAGAAGAATAAGAATAAAATGGCTTCATATATATTTCAATCTTCATAATAAACCATTTTTCAAGATAGAAGTTATTTTCTTGTCGAATAAATTGGGCTCAAATAAGAAAGTTACATCTAAAGTTTTCTTTCTCATTACAACTGCTTAACACCGCTGATGAGGAAAGAAAATAAGCAGATATTTCACCATAACTTATGTAAATAACACAGAAATTGCAAGGCAGGATATGAAGTTTATATTCTAAATAATTTCTTTTTCATCATGAACAGGAAGGTGGAATGTGTGCATTTTAAATGATCAAAACCAACTTAGGTTATAAAAATGGAGTCTAGCTAGCTGTATTCACCTAAAACCAGCATTAAAAACAACAATTACAAATTAAATTATAAAAATGTTAGTGTAATTAATGGTTTCATAGAATATGTGTTGTATGTTGGTCAAGGTAAACTTCAACCCCATAGAGCACTACCTCACTTTGAATCTTCTCTGGAAAGGACCAATTTTAACCACTATTTTGCCTTTTGATGAGAGAGAGAGAGAGACAGAGAGAGAGAGAGAGAGAGGGAGAGAGAGAGAGAGAGAGAGAGAGAGAGAGATAGAGACAGAGAGAGAGAGAGAGAGAGAGAGAGAGAGGCAGAAAAAGGCAGAGAAAGACAGAAAAAGACAGAAAAAGATACACAGAGAGAGCTGGAGAGAGACAGAAAGATACAGAGGGAGAGAGCGAGAGCGGAGAGCTACAGAGAGAGAGAGAGATGATGATGATGATGATGATGATGATGATGATGAAACACTTGACATGGGAGGATGATCTATATGGTTTGGTTTCACGCCACGTTGACAGTATTTCAGTAACATCCCGGCGTGTCAGCATGGTATGGACGAAAAACCCAAAGTTATGTATGCAGATCGTATATATATGTATATGTGGAAACACCATGAATTACTTATATTACGATAGCTTGTCTGTGTGTATCTGTTTTACAGGATGATAAATAAATAATCGCATGCCATCACCGTAAGTTAAATGCGCTCCGCTTCAAATACTTATCCTCTCTACACATGCAAAATAAATGACTCATGCTATCTACCAGGATGTCTCGCATCTGCTTCGTCTCTCATATCAAGTGGCATTTATGTCATACAAATATAAGACACGTCCTTGAAGCTTGTTAAAGAGCCCCTCCCGCTGTGGCTATCTAACTAACTGTTTGATACAGACTGAAATCACTCGTAGGTACAGCTGTTTTCCACGAATATACGGCTTCATACATAAATAGGCATCCTGTTTTAGAAAGATGACCCGGGGCCCCTATTCGGACACACCAGAACAGATGCTAGGAACATAAACAGTGAACACCAAATACTGGAACACCAAGGCTTCTGTTGACACAAAGTGTGCATTACTGGGGGGCATTGATTTGTGTTAGGATAATAGCTTCAAAAACAATTTATTTTCCGTTTATATCATTCTTGGGTGAACCTGATTACTAAACCCATAGAACATGTCAAAGCGTCTATTTACTTGACGTACATATGTGTTACACAAGCTTTGATAGGGATAGGGATGAGTGTGGGACCTGAATGTGTGTGGTTTGCTACTTGGGTGAATAGTTTTACGACGCTTTTAGCAATATCCCAGCAATATCACGGCGGGGGGCACCAGAAATGTGCTTCACACTTTGAATCCATGTGGGGAATCGAACCCGGTTCTGACCACTAGGCTACCCTACCGCCCCGTTCGCTGCTTGGAGATACTACCATACACATAGTATCCCACGTTGCCATGCAACTACCAGACACATAGTACCCACGTTGCCATGCAACTGAGCAGGTTCAGATTCATTTAAAGTTTAATGAAAAGTTCACAATTCAAGTACACCGATTGCTGTTTTCTTGTTACGTCTTGATTGTTTGTTTATTTGTTTGTTGTTTAACGCCGCACTCAGCAATATTTTAGCCA